AGAGACAGAGAGGAGAGAGGACAGAGAGAAAGAGAGAGATGAAAGAGAGAGAGAAAGAGAGAAAGAGAGAGAGAAAGAGAGACAGAGAGGAGAGAGGACAGAAACAGAGAAAGAGAGAGATGAAAGAGAGAGAGAAAGAGAGAGAGAAAGAGAGACAGAGAGGAGAGAGGACAGAAACAGAGAAAGAGAGAGATGAAAGAGAAAGAGAGAAAGAGAGACAGAGAGAAGAGAGACAGAGAGGAGAGAGGACAGAAACAGAGAAAGAGAGAGATGAAAGAGAGAGAGAAAGAGAGAGAGAAAGAGAGACAGAGAGAGAGAGGACAGAAACAGAGAAAGAGAGAGATGAAAGAGAAAGAGAGAGATGAAAGAGAAAGAGAGAAAGAGAGACAGAGAGAAAGAGAGACAGAGAGAGAGAGAGGACAGAAACAGAGAAAGAGATGAAAGAGAAAGAAAGAGAGAGAGAAAGAGAGACAGAGAGGAGAGAGGACAGAAACAGAGAAAGAGAGAGATGAAAGAGAGAGAGAAAGAGAGAGAAGAGAGAGAGAAAGAGAGACAGAGAGAGAGAGGACAAAACACAGAGAGAGAGAGATGAAAAGAGAGAGAGATGAGTGATTTCCTTCTTTTGTCCATCGCTTACTTCCAGCTCATCCTGGTGTGGAGCAGCCCTCAGTCCGCAAGACAAAATAAGGATCCTTCTAAATTTCCACCTGAAGACCTTTGGGTAGTTTTTGGCTCTTTTGACCAAAGTTTGCCAGGTCCCTGGGTTGTCTATTCTCTCTCACTCAGAATAGAGCTGGAAGGGGCCTCGGAGGTCTTCTAGTCCAACCCCTTGTCCAAGCAGGAGACCCTACACCACCAGTTCAGACAAATAGTTGTCCAGTCTCTTCTTTAAAAAGTTGGAGCATTCACAACTTCTGGTGGCAAGCTGTTCCACAGGCTAATTGTTCTCACTGTTAGGAAATTTCTCTTTAGTTCCAGGTTGCTTCTCTCCTTGATTCGTTTCCACCCATTGCTTCTTGTCCTGCCCTTCAGGTGCTTTGGAGAATAGCTTGACCCCCTCCTCTTCTTTGGGGCAGCCCCTCAAATACTGTAATCCTGCTATCATGTCCCACCTAGTCCTCCATTTCTCTAGACTGGCCAAACCCAAATCCTGCAACCGGTTCTTCCTATGTTTTAGTCTCCGGGCCCTTAATCCTCCTAGTTGCTCTTCTCTGCACTTTTTCCAAAGTCCCAACATCTTTTTTTGTAATTTGTGGTGACCAAAACTGGATGCAGGATTTCCAGCTGTGGCCTTGTTAAGGCTTTACAAAGCGGTACTAAGACTACATGTGGTTTTGATTCTATGCCTCTGTTTACACAACTAAGGATTGTGTTAGCTTTTTTGGCTGCTGCCGCACACGGCTGCTAATATTTAAGTGATTGTCCACTAGGACTCCAAGGTCCCTCTCCCAGCGACTGTTGTTGAGCCAGGTCTCACCTAATCTGGACTTCTACCTTTGTACTTTGTACACCTTCCCCTCTCCTCTGGGTAGGGGGATAACTCTGCCCCAGGGAGCCTTCCTGCTCAAAGGGGTACACTTGCACTTTGAGTTAGAACAACTTTATGGTCACTTCGAATGTACACTAATTGGCATACGTTAAAATGACATTTCTTTGCATGCAGCTCTCAAAGCGTCACCACCTCCAATATACAGTAGTGGCCAAAATTGTGGAACCTTTGGGAAAAGTGTATTTTTGAGGTTTGATGGCTAATAACACCACTTTTGTTTTTGGAGTTTCAAGATCATCCTATTCCACTGCTGGAATGGCCTGGAATAGCCCAGACCTTAACCTTAAAATCTATGGAGCCGACTAAAGAAACTGGTTAGTCAGAAGCGAACCAGCAATAAAACCCAGTTAACAGAAGCCATCCTTCCATCTTGGTTTCACATGATAACAGCTGCGGAACTCAAAGACTTGGTTCACTCCATGGGAAGATGTTGTAAGGCCGTAATTCATGCTAAAGGCTACCAACAAATTACTGCAAGTTCAAATCTCCCAGGCTCAAGTTGACTCAGCCTTCCATCCTTTCTAAGGTAGGTAAAATGAGGACCCGGATTGTGGGGGCAATAAGCTGACTTTGTATAAATATACAAAAGTATGAAGGCTATTGCTTAAAAGCATTGTAAGCCGCCTTGAGTCTCCGGAGAAGGGCGGCATATAAATCAAACCAAACAAACAAACAAACAAACAAACAAACAAACAAATAAATAAACAAAGTATTAACTGACATGGGGATCATTTTTGTATATCTCATTTTTTCTGCGTGTTTCACCTTTCTTCTTTATACTGTAACTGCTATTCTAATAGCAAATCCTTCATAAAAGTTATTGCATTAACATTTTCGATTAAATTATCTTTCCACTGATATATAATTTTATGGTACTACTCAAAAAAAAAAAGTGGTGTTATTCGCTAGTTTTAGAAAATACACTTTTCCCAAAAGGTTCCCACAATTTTGGCCACAACTGTATAACACTACATATCCATGACAAGATAAATAATTAAATAAATAAATAAATACAAAGTTATTGTAAAGAAAGAAGCTTAAGCTGTGTTGTTTTTGCTGTCGTCATGCTTGTCATGATGGAGGCTTAATTCCTACTGTTTTGCTGACGGCAGCAAAAATAACACAGCTAATTACAAGTGGGAGACAGCTGGAAGGGCCTATGACTAGCGCAATGGCCAAATTGATTAATGGCATATAAAGGCAGAGATCTCGTAATGGTAGTGTCAGGTTTCGAGGTCGTCTCAAATAAATTGCATTTCAAACAAAGTCTTTGAAGAAAAACTCCCATTTATTAAGCACGACATTCTAACTCCAACTCCAACGAAGCCAACACTGACTTCCAGACCCAACCCCCCCCACCCCTTTCCATTCCTCACTCCTCTGCACTCATTAGCCATCTTCCAACTCACTCTACCCCTAATCTACTGCTCCAGCTCAAAGGAATTTCTCCCCTCCCCTCCCATCTCCTAGGGGATATTATCTCCAGGAAAATAAGTAGATAAAAAGTCAAATGTCCCTTTCCAGATGCCTTCGCTTCTCCTTCTTATGTCAGCACTAGAGTAAATGCAGCTTGAGTGCTGACAGGTAGTTTAATACTCTGACGATGTCAGAGATGGCTGACGAAAGTGTAGTAGAATAAAATGTTAATTATTTTAGTTCCGGAGTTCGCAGAATGTCTGCTTCTTTCTTTACAAATATACCTGGAACTTGTATTTTTAGAAGAGTTTGTAATACAAAGTTATGCATATATATATATATATACCACATTATATCTAATATATGACTTTTTCTTATAACATATGTGGTTAAGAGAATACTAGAATCTGACTCAATGATTTTATTCTCACGTACCAGATCACCCTGGGAGAAAAACTCCTTGTAGATCAGTTCCTGGAAAGGAAAGGAAAGATATGGATTGAGTGCAAGATGACAGACCCTCCCAACTCTTCAATCTGCACATTGTTTGGGGAGCGGGGAATGTCCAGAGAGGACATTCACACATACACCCCCCCCACAAACCTTGGACCTTCCGGCAACTGAAGAGTGACAGGTATCTGTCGTGATTTTCCTCCAACTGGATGCCCTTCTAGATACCCTGGGATCTTACGCTGAGCTCTCCCAGACGGAGAGAAGATGGAGAATGGGGCAACCCTGGCTGGTGTAGATGACCTCTAGGTGCCCCCAAGGATTGCCAGCAGAACAACAGAGTTGGAAGGGAACTTGGAGGTCCTCTTGTCCAGGGTCTCCAACCTTGGCAACTTTAAGTCTTGTGGATTTCAACTCCCAGAATTCCCCAGCCAGCCTTGGAGGACTTCAACTCCCAGAATCCCCCAGCCAGCCTTGGAGGACTTCAACTCCCAGAATCCCCCAGCCAGCCTTGGAGGACTTCAACTCCCAGAATCCCCCAGCCAGCCTTGGAGGACTTCAACTCCCAGAATCCCCCAGCCAGCCTTGGAGGACTTCAACTCCCAGAATACCCCAGCCAGCTGGCTGGGGTATTCTGGGAGTTGAAGTCCTCCAAGGCTGGCTGGGGGATTCTGGGAGTTGAAGTCCACAAGTCTTAAAGTTGCCAAGATTGGAGACCCCTCCTCTATTCCAAACACCTGCTCGAGCACGAGACTCTGCTTGATATTCCTCTTTCCCTTCTAGCTGTAATTCAACAGGTGAAGTTGGGCTGTTTTTTTTGCCTGGGTTCCCAAAGGGGCAGGGGATGTGGCTGGAAAGGGCAAGGGGGTCTTTAGCCGGAGAAGGTGCCAGTTGCAGGAGGAAGAGCTCCACCTTCCCAAGGGAGGCTGGCACCGAGACGTCCAGGCCACCAGCCTGGGGGACAGGGGCTCCGTCCTCCTCGGCCTCGTACTCACCCGCGATCTTCCGGGTGGTTTTCCAGCCTTTGGTCTGGTCTGAGAGGTCACAGGAGGTCATGAGAAGGTACAGGAGGAGGCTGTGGTGCTGCTTGTTCGCCGGATCGTAGCCAACTGCAGAGGGGAGAGAGGAGGAGGAGTAAGGGAGGAAAAGGGAAGGAGAGAAGGAAAGGAGGGGGAGAGAGACAGAGAGAGAGAGAAGGAAGGAAATGGAAGAGTAGGAGAAAATGTGGGAGGGAGGGAAGGAAGGAAAGGAAAGGAAGGGAGGGAAGAAAAAGGAAGGGAGGGGAGGAAGGAAAGAAGGTGAAGTAGAAAGGAAAAGAGAGAGAAGAAGGAAGAAAGGAAAGAGGGAGGGAGGGAGGAAGGAAAGAAGGAAGGGAGGGTGGGTGGGAAAGGAAATGGAAGAGTAGGAGAAAATGTGGGAGGGAGGGAAGGAAGGGAGGGAAGAAAAGGGAAGGGAGGGGAGGAAGGAAAGAAGGAGAAGGGAAGGAAGGAGGAAGGAAGGAAGGTGTGTAGAAAGGAAAGGAGAGAGAAGGAAGAAAGGAAAGAATGGAGGGAGGGAGGAAGGAAAGAAGGGAGGGCGGGTGGGAGGGAGGGAAGTAGAAAGGAGAGAGAAGGAAGGAAGGAAAGAAGGAAGGAAGAGGGAGGGAGGGAGAGAGGAAAAAGTAGGAAAAGGAAAGATAGATGGATGGAAGGGAGGGAGGGAGGGAGAGAAGAAGGAAGGGGAAAGGGAAGGAAGGAAGGAAAGAAGGGAGGGAGAGAGAGAGAGAGAGGAAAAAGTAGGAAAAGGAAAGATGGATGGATGGAAGGGAGGGAGGGAGAGAGAGAAGAAGGAAGGAAGGAAGGAAGGAAGGAAGAGGGAGGAAGGAAGGAAGGAAAGAAGGAAGGAAGGAAAGAAGGAAGGAAGAGGGAGGGAAGGAGAGAGGAAGGAAGGAAGGGGAAAGGGAAGGACGGAAAGAAGGGAGGGAGAGAGTGAGGAAAAAGTAGGAAAAGGATGGATGGAAGGGAGGGAAGAAGGGAGGGAGAGAGAGAATAAGGAAGGAAGGAAGAAGGAAGGAAGGAAGGAAGAGGGAGGGAGGAAGGAAGGAAAGAAGGAAGGAAGAGGGAGGGAGGGAGAGAGGAAGGAAGGTTGGGGAAAGGGAAGGAAGGAAGGAAAGAAGGGAGGGAGAGAGAGAGGAAAAAATAGGAAAAGGAAAGATGGATGGATGGAAGGGAGGGAGGAAGAGAAGAAGGAAGGAAAGAAGGAAGAAGGAAAGAAAGAAGGAAGGAAAAGGAAGTTAAGGAGAAAAGAAAGCCATACAGAGAGAAGGGGGAAAGGGAAGTATAATTGCCTAAATGTGCACAATGCATTTTAATTTTGTCTGTTGGTTTCCTGACTATCACGTTGAACAGATCTGCAACCTGCCGGTTGACACAAAAATCTACTTTTTTTTGGTGGAACCTCCTTTTTCAAAAGATCAAGGGATAACGCAGCCCGTCTTTTCACGCTTCATGCCTTTTTTACTTTTTAAGGAGCAAATAATAATAATAATAATAATAATAATAATAATAATAATAATAATAATAATAATGAATTATTGGTGGGAAAACGATGGTGATTTTCAAGGAGGCACAAAACAGCCACCTGAGACCCCGGATCAGGCAAATGGATTCCGTGGCAAATATCCAATTTTCTCCTGGTCAACCTATTTTCTGAAAGGCCATTTCAGATGTGACTGGTTATAAAAATAAGACCGGGAGTCCTCGGCTTACAACCATTAGGAACACGGTTGTAAAGCGAGCCTGGCATCCCCGTTGGCTTTGCAAAAGAAGGTCACATGACCCCCCCGGGACGCTGCAACCGTCGTAAGTACATGCCAGTTGCCAAGCTTCTGGACTTTGATCATGTGTGAACGATGCTCATGAGTCGCTTTTTTTCCCCCGGCGCCGTTGTAAATCACTTCGAACGGTCGCTAAATGAATGGTTGTAAATCGAGGAACGCTTGTCGTCAAGGAGACAACCCAAACGCAGCCATGGAGATGTCAACAGCCGAGCTCCACTTGGGGGAGTCTATATCTGAGGAGCCTGCGTCGGTGGAGTTGTGTGGGGACAGATTTGGTCCAGGATAGAGGTCTCCAACCTTGGCAACTTGAAGACTTGTGGACTTCAACTCCCAGAATTCCTCAGCCAGCTATTTTTATTTTATACACTATTTTTGTCCTTCAGGGATTTGGTGATGTCCCTCTACTCTGCCAACCCCTGGAGAAAAATTCCATGGAGATTCTCCATCATGCAGGTCATGGTTTGTCACTGCGTTTTTGTATTTACCAGATGAGCTCATATTTTTGGATTTTCAGACTTTCCGTAGCTTGCCAAGTGTCTTATCCGTAAGCTAACTGCGCATGTCCACATTCCTTCACTTTCTTCTTTCTTGCTTTGTTCTCCTGCCAAGAGGTCCGGCCGCAGAGAGGTGGCCGGCAGGAACGTCGCCAAAATGTAATTATTTTAGATAGCGAGATGTTTTATTTTCTTTATAACAAATAAATGAGTTTTTCTTAGAAAAATAGATCTTCGGGTTTATTTTTTTTTCTTAAAGTATGCTTCAAGGGAAAAGTCTCGAGCCACGTCTCTAAATCAAGGTGCGGTTACCCAAAAGCAGAATGGGATTAATTAGCACCCTGATATGGTTGTCCCAAAGGTGCTTTCTGGTTTTTTCTTCTGAAGATGTTTCACTTCTCCTCCGAGAAGCTTCTTCAGCTCTGACTGGATGGTGGGGAATGGAAGGATTGATACTCCTTGACAGACAGCTGGTCATTTGCATCCTTTGAGAGGGTCGTTGAGGCCACTTGGAGGCTGATCTGTGTCCTCAGGGTCCCCTGAATGGGGAAGGGACAGAAAATATCCTGCAGCCAAGAAGGCTCCACATCCATTTGCACCACTCCGGGGATCCTGAGGACACAGATAAACCTCCAAGCGGCCTCAATGACCCTCTAAAAAGGATGCAAATGACCAACTGTCTGTCAAGGAGTATAAATCCTTCAATCCTCCACCATCCAGTCAGAGCTGAAGAAGCTTCTCGGAGGAGAAGCGAAAGGTCTTCAAAAGAAAAAACAAGAAAATCCAGTTGCCTCTTGAAAAAAAGCACCTTTGGAGAAGACCCTCAATTTGGGAAGGATGGGGGTGGGGTGGGGTGTCCCGCTTTACCGTCAGCCATCTTCTGCAAGTCTTTGAAGATCCTCAAGTGATGAGCGAGGTCGGTGGCCAGGATGATGTCCCTCATCAAATCCAGCATCCTTTGGTAATCCTGTGGGATCAAGCGGTCCCTGCTTTACCATCCTTCACAACTGGTTAGGCAAGAGAGGCTGCTCCGTGGCCTGAAGGAGGACACCTGACTTGGAGGCCTCTCAAAAGGTCCCAGGTAGGACTCCGAAACTCCACCCACAGCTTGGAGAAGATGGGGGGGGGACAGTTTGGGGGAACAATTGGGTCTTCGGTGTCCAAAGACCTCCAGCCAATTTGAGAACTGGGCATGGTCTAAATGCAGTGTTTCTCAGCCTTCACAACTTTAACATGTGGGGACTTCAACTCCCAGAATTCCCCAGCCAGCATGGGTGAACTTCAACTCCCAGAATCCCCCAACCACCAGAGGTGGACTTCAACTCCCAGAATTCCTGAGCCCTCATGGGTGAACTTCAACTTCCAGAGTTCCCCAACTACATGTATGGATTTTAACTCCCATAACTCCCCATCTACCAGAGCTGGACTTCAACTCCCAGAATTCCTGAGCCAGCTTGGGTGTACTTTAATTCCCCAACCAAATATATGGATTTTAACTCCTATAACTCCCCATCTACCAAAGCTGGACTTCAACTCCCAGAATCCCCCAGTTCACCAGAGCTGGACTTCAACTCCCAGAAACCCCCCCCAGTTCGCATACCCCAGGGCCACCTGGGGAGAGGGACGAGTGCCAAAGAAGTCAAGATCGTATCTATCCCCTGTGCCATAAAACCCCCCGCTCCCTTTTTAAAAGCCCCCTCCCCAATTTCTCCCTCCCACGGATGAGGCTCGGCCTGCCCAGGAAGCCCACCTTGCGAGAGAAATGGTCGAAGATGTTGCAGCCGTGCGTATTCAGGATGGCGATGGCTTGAGCGAAATGGTGTCTCTGAGGTAAAGAAAACACCACAGCGGAGACGTCAACGAATTTAGTGCATAATTGCACTCATAAATCAATCAATGTTGTGTAAGTGTGTATCGGGTTGTACAGTGGGACACAGGTAGCCCTCGCCTCACAACCAATTCTTGAGCGACCTTTTGATTTATTGATTTATTTATTAGTCGTATTTCTATGCCGCCCACTCTCCGAGGACTCTGGGCGGCTTACACCAAAGACAGTATATACTAAATAGCATATTGCCCCCTTACAATCTGGGTCCTCATTTTACCCACCTCGGAAGGATGGAAGGCTGAGCCAACCTTGAGCCCTTGGTGAGATTTGATCCGCTGACCTGCTGAACTAGCAGTCAGCTGAAGTAGCTGCAGTACTGCACTCTTAACTACTGCGCCACCTCGGCTCTATATTCTTGATGTTACAAGAATGCTAAGAAAAAAATGGCTTATAATCTGTCCTCACACTTACAGCCGTCGCAGAATTCCCCCAGGGTCGCATGATCAAAATTTGAGGACTGGCATGTATTTGGGACCGTTGCACTCTCCCGGGGGTGGGGGGTGGGGGGTGTCACGGAAATCACCATTTACGACAAGGAAGGTCAACTGGGGAACCCGTATTCACTTAACAACCGTGTGACTCGTTTAACGACATTGGCGATTCACTTCACAACAGTGGCCCCCCTGAAAAATGCCGTAAAAATCAGCGCGCGACTCACTGAACAACCTGCTTTGGACAGTGGAAATTCTGGTTCCACAAAGGAAGTCGTAAGTCAAGGACTTTCTTGTAGAGGATTCGATCCCACAGAGCAGGGATGGTGATAGAAATATTGTTCTGACTCGGCTCCCCAAAGACGACAAACCCTCTGAAGTGAACTCAAAGATTCCTTTATTAGCAGCGCCAGCAACCCCGGCAAAAAGTTTCTCTCTCACCGCAGGCTAAGAATTCCGTCCGTCCGGAAGATGAATAGTTGTCTGTCCCATCTATTCATCTCCGCCCGCTGCCTTTGATCCCCAGAGTTAAGGTGGGGCTTTGTTAGCAGTGGGGGCTCTTCCGTCCCGAGGACCGGCCCATAGATTTCCACTGCTCTCCTCTCCTCTGCCTTCTGTGCATTCGTGAGTCAGGCACAGGACCCAGCTGTTCCTCCTCCTCCTCATCAGCCACCTCCAGACCTGGGGGCTGTTGACCCTCCATCTGACGGCTGACAGACGGCCCAGGCTCTGCCTCTGTCCCTCTCTCTCTCTCTCTGACGGCTCCATTCCCTCTTCCGCCTCCGAGCTCTCAGGTTGCCCTGATGCTGACTCTGATTCCCACGCCTCCTCCTCCTTGTCCTCCTCCTTTGATTCGGCTGCTGGAGGGGCCACAATAAATATGATGGATTCACTACTCCATCTGTGTCTCCCAGCAGAGGGCCCCGGGGGTATGTGTGTCTTCAAAAGAATCAAGATGGCGGCCTTGATGTAATTGAAACTTTATTTGTACGTATGTATGTATGTTTGTTTACTCACTTACTTATTTAGAGGCAGTTCTTCGACTTACGGCCACAACTGAGCCCAAAAGTTATGTTGATGTGTGAGACACCTGTGAAGTGAGTTTCCTCCTTTCGTTTTATGACCTTTCTCACCGCGGTCGTTAAGTGAATCAGTGCAGTGGTTAAATGAGTCACACGGTTGTTAAGCGAATCTGGCTTCTCCATCGACTTTGCTGGTCAGAAGGGCGCCAGAGGGGAATCACGTGACCCCCGGGACACCAAAACAGTCCTAAGTACCTGCCAGTTGCCAAGCCTTTGAATTTAGATCACGTGACCAAGAGAATGCTGCAGGGGTCGTAAGTGTGAAAAATGGTCATAAGTCACTTTATTTTTAGTGTCGTCATAATTTCGAACGGTCACTAACAACTGTTGTTAGTCAAGGCTACCGGTATTGGTGACTGTTCTGTTCAGACCCAAGTTAATTCCCAGGGATTTTCCCACAAGCTACGGAGAAAAGGCCTCCTGAAGACACTTCAGCCCACCGGATTTTCTCTCCTGCTTGGGCCAGATTTGACCCTAGTCCCCATCTGGCAAAGAGGGCAACGGATTCCTGAATCCACAAGAGATGGAGCCTCACAGGGTCTCCATCACGGCCTCCTCCTTTCGTTTATCAGAACGGTAGAGGGTCTCCGGCTTGAGGACGGTCTTGGACTAGAAGACCTCAGAGGTCCCTTCCAGGAGAGGAGAGGAGAGGGGAGGGGAGGGGAGGGGAGGAGAGAAGAGAGAAGGATGGAGAAGGAGAAGAGAGAAGGATGGAGAAGAGAAGGATAGAGAAGAGAAGAAGGAGAAGAGAAGGATGGAGAAGAGAAGAGAGAAGGATGGAGAAGAGAAGAAGGAGAAGAGGATGGAGAAGAGAAAGATGGAGAAGAAAAGAAGGAGAAGAGAAGAGAGAAGGATGGAGGAGAGAAGAAGGAGAAGAGAAGAGAAGAGAGAAGGATGGAGAAGAGAAGGAGAAGAGAAGAGAAAGAAGGATGAGAAGAAAGGATGGAGAAGAAAAAAGGAGAAGAAAGAGAGAAGGATGGAGAAGAGAGAAGGAGGAGTAGAGAAGATGGAGAAGAAAAGAAGGAGAAGAGAAGAGAAGAAGAAGATGGAGAAGAGAAGAGAAGGATGGAGAAGAGAAGAGAAGGATGGAGAAGAGAAGATAGAGAAAGAAGAAGGAGAAGAGAAGATGGAGAAGAGAAGAGAGAATGAGAAGAGAAAAGAAGGATGGAGAAGAGAAGGATGGAGAAGAAAAGAAGGAGAAAGAAGAGAGAAGAGAAGAGAAGAGAGAAGGATGGAGAAGAGAAGGAGAAGAGAAGAGAAGAGAAGAGAGAAGGATGGAGAAGAAAAGAAGGAGAAGGTAGGTAAATTGAGGACCCAGTTTGTGGGGGCCATAAGCTGACTTTGTATAAATATACAAAAGGATGAAGGCTATTGCTTAACGCCTTGGAAGCCGCCCTGAGTCTCCGGAGAAGGGCGGCATATAAATCAAATTAAAAAAAAGAGAGAGAGAAGAGAAGAGAGAAGGATGGAGGAGAGAAAAAGGAGAAGAGAAGAGAAGAGAAGAGAAGAGAAGAGAAGAGAAGAGAAGAGAAGAGAAGAGAAGGGAAGGGTTGGAAGGGACCTTGGAGGTCTTCTAGTCCAACCCCCTGCTCAAGCAGGAGATCCTATACCATTTCAGACAAGTGGCCATCCTTAAAAACCTCCAGTGATGGAGCACCCACAACTTCTGGTGGCAACTTCTGTTCCGCTGGTTAATTGTCCTCACTGTCAGGAAATTCCTCCTTAATTCCAGGTTGCTTCTCTCCTTGATGAATTTCCCTCCATTGCTTCTTCTCCTGCCTTCAGGGGCTTTGGAGAATAGGTAGACTCCCCCCCCCACTTCTTTGGGGCAGCCCCTCAAAGCTTGGAAGGCTGCTATCCTGTCTCTGATTCTGTGTTGTAGTTGCCCTCCCCTTTTCTCATACTAAAAACGGTTGGCCCTTCTCAGCTATGGGGCTGGTCCCCGTCCTTCCTTCCTCCCTTTACCTCCATCACGGATCCTTCGGAACTGTACAAAGCAGCCAGGACGGATTTCTGGAAGAGAATGGAGAAGGGAGATCTGTCTCACTGGAGAGGTTGGGTATGGGTGAAGGAGACCCCCAAGGGGGAAGGGATGGTCCTTAGCCCAATGCTGCATCGAGCAAGACCCACCCCTCATTCTCCTTTGCAGGGGGGTGGGGGAGGGGGCTTCCCAACCTTACCGATGCCACTTGAAAAGAATTGTTGGTGCCTCGGTGGTCCAAGTCGTGGCACATGCAGGAAATGAACAAGGCGAAGATTTCGATGTCTCTACGGGGAAGATAATCATAATCATAATAAGTTTATTTTGTCCGGCATATATAAGATTACAGGTAAAAGTATAAACACAATTTAGATACATGAAAAGAAGTAAGAGTAAAAAGGAATATTAGGACCGGGACGGAAGGCACGCTGGTGCTCTTATGCACGCCCCTTACAGACCTCTTAGGAATGGGGCGAGGTCCACAGTCTAAGGTTAAAGTTTTTTGGTTTTTTTGGAAAAATATTTTTTATTGTTTTTTCCAAACATAAACATAAAATATATCTTTTAAGAACCAAGTCTTGATCCGGCCATAGATAGGTACAATCGTTTGTATTCCTTTAACAAGCTCTAATCCCAATTTTCTCGTTGCATCTTTTTAAAATTCAAAACCCAAACTCAAATTTTTAACACAAATCCTAACGTCTTATTCTAAACCAATCTATTGTATCATCAAAACCTTAATTTCCATATAAACTCTACTCATTATTTCCAATTGTCAATCAAAATTCTATTTCACCAAGCCGGGCTGGCATAAATCTCTTCTAATCGTTCTCAATCTTTATGCTGAAGATTCTTAACCGATGAACCAAATTGGCTTAATCATTTTATATTCACATTTTATATGTATGTTATTTTAACTGTTCACCGCCCTGAGTCCTTCGGGAGAAGGGCGGTATATAAATAAACAAACAAACAAACAAACAAACAAACAAACAAATAAATAAATAAATAAATAAATAACATAAAAATCAAAAACAGAAATTTTTAAAATATTCTGACATCTTCATCTAAGTGTTTACCTTACATTTTATCACCACAAATCTTACTTCCCAAATATGTACAACTCTATTTTTATTTCAACTTATAAATCAAAATTTTATCTATATTCCTTAATCTCTAGACCCATTTCAGCGAATCTTTAAATCTTAAACTTTAAGGTTAAAGTTTTGGGGAGTTTGGGGAAGAGACCACAGAGTCAGGTAGAGCATTCCAGCTCTACCAGCTCTACTTCAGCATTCTGTGGCTGAAGTCGTATTTTCTGCCATCGAGTTTGGAGCCCCAAAACCTGGGTGGGCGTGGCCAACTCAGCATCACTCCCACCCAGTCACATGACACCCCAGCCATGGTTTCATGGCTATTGGTGTTTTCTGTGGGAAATGGGTCTCTCTCTCTCTCTCTCTCTCTTTCTCTCTCTCCCTCCCTCCCTCTCATTTCTGTTTTTCTCTCTTTTTCCTCTCCCTCTCTCTTCTTTCTTTCTTTCTTTCTTTCTTTCTTTCTTTCTTTCTTTCTTTCTTTCTTCCTTCCTTCCTTCCTTCCTTCCTTCCTTCCTTCCTTCCTTCCTTCTTTCCTTTTCTTCCCCTCCCTTCCCTCCCTTCCCTTCCTTCCCTTCCCTTCCCCTCTTTCTTTTCCTTTCTTTCTCATTGAATACGATAGCAAATCGTATAATGTAACGGTCGTAAGTGTGAAAAAGGGTCCTAGCTTCCTTTTTTCCAGTGCTGTTGTAACTTCGAAACGGTCACTCAACGAATGGGTTATAAGTTGAGGATTTCATTTTGCAAGATTTCTCCCTAAAGGCAAAGAATCAATGAAGGAAATAGCTTTGGGGGGCCTCAACGGGTCTTTGCTGTGTTTTGAAAGCTGGCACCCCAACTTCCACAAGCTGAACAGGGACCAAGAGTTGTTGGTTCAACCTCAGCTTCTGTTGCTCCGAGATGCTTAAGATCCTTAAGCCGTAGGGTCTCCGTCCCCTATGATCCCGAACGTAAAAGAAGCCCATCATCCACGTCCACTTACTCCAGATAATTGATGAGCTCCAGATTCTTGTACAGCAAGTAGCAGAAGTGGGAGACGGAGAAAGCGTGCGTCCAGTTGTGATAGGGAGGGTCTCTGTACCCCTTCTTCACCATGAGGCAGAACCTGAGGAAAATGACACACAGACACAAAAAGAGACAGTGTGATGACCTGGGGCACAGCACAGAGATAACACAGGCAGCTGGCAGTTCAAACTGCCCCTTTATTGCTCCAAATTGCCCCAAACGCTCCCACCTTTCTGGCAAGTCCCAGAGCGAAGTGATGATACAGAGACACACCTCAAGCAGCCTCTGGCTGCAAATAGTCCAGCCCAACGCTGTGAGCACCACGGCTGCACAGCAAGAAATCCGGCAGGGCTAGTCGAGGAGTCCAGGAAGCAAAGGAGCAAGGCAAGGAATCCAGAAACCGAGAAAGAATGCAAGGAATCCAGGAAAGTTCAAATGCTCAACCCTCCAGGAATCCAGCATTTGTTCCTGACAATTGCCCCTCTCCGCAGTGTTCTCCTTAAGTCTCAGTCCCCAGGTGTGCCTTGTGGAGAGGGGCGGGGTGCTCTCCTCCCAAATAGCCCAGTCAGTCTATGCTGTTCTCGCCTTCTCTCCGCTCTCCATGCTCGAGGAGCAGGAGGGGTCGGTCCTTGCTCATCGCCTGAGCTCTGTCTCTCATGTTCTCTTGGTCATCCTGCCCCCCCCCACTTCCTCCCTGCCTACAAGCCATTCCAGTCCTGAAAGACCCTGGCCCTGCTCCTCCCCATTTTCCTCCAAAGCCACCCCCTCAATCTCCCTTTGGCTCCACTTCGGGCTCATCTTCCTCTGCAGATTCAGGCTCCGACATCAGGGCTATCGTGATCATCATCGTCACTTGAAGTAGTTGAACTGGTTTCATGACTAATTGTATCATAAGGAGGAGGAGGATTGTGGAGTCCTTGGTGCTCTCTAAGCTGTGCTGTTTTCTTGCAGACATTTCATGACCCAACTAGGTAACACCATCAGTGCTAGAAGGGAGGGGGCTCACTCTTATTTTTACTTACTATTAAAAACCTGCAAGAAAACCATCAGGCTCAGAGAGCACCAAGGACCCTACAGTCCTCCTTCCCCTCCTCCTCCTCCTCCTCCTCCTTCCCCACCCCACAACCCCCACACCTTCTAACACTGATGATGTTACCTAGTTAGGTCATGAAACGTCTGCAAGAAAAGCACCCAGCTCAGACATCACGAAGGACCCCAAAGCCCTTCTGTTTTCTGTGGATCTCCTCGGCTGACGCTGTGCATTAAACCGCGCACTAAACCTGGTGTCCAAACGGAGAAGCAAATCGAGTCCTTTTTATGACTTCGGGATCCAGAAGAAGAAAAAGGAAAAACCGGCTTGTTCCCTTCCCCCAACCGTACCTGACCAGGGTCTGACGGTCGATTTTGTAGCTGCTGATGAAATTCATGTCCTGAAGCATGCTCAGAATGGCCTGTGGGGGGAAAAGGAAAGAAAGAGAAAGGTGAGTTGAGGGGGAACGGTTGATGGCGAAACATCCTTCCTCCGTCTCTGCCTCCTCCCTCTTTCTTTCCCTCCCTCTCTCCTCCTTCTTCTCCTCTTCCCCATTCCTCTCCCTTTCCCTCTCTCTCCTCTTTCTTCTTCCTCCACCTCCTCCCTTCACTCCTCCTTTCTTCTCCTCTTCTTCCTTCCCCCTCCTACCTTCTTCTCCTCCTCCCTCCTTTTTCCCCTCCCTCCTTCTCCCTTCTCCTCTCCCCATCCCTTTCCCTCTCTCTCTCTCCTCCTTCCTTCCTTCCTTCCTTCCCCTCCTTCTCTCTCTCCCTTTCCTCTCTCTCCTTCCTTCCTTCCTTCACTCCTCCTCCTCCCTCTCCCTCTCCCTCCTCTTTCTTCTTCCTCCACCTCCTCCCTTCACTCCTCCTCCTTCTTCTCCTACCTTCTTCTTCTCCTCTCCTCTCCTTCCTTCCTTCCCCCCTACCTTCTTCTCCTCCTCCCTCTTTTTTTCCCCCTCCCTCCTTCTCCCTTCCCCATCCCTTCCCTTTCCCTCTCTCTCCTTCCTTCCTTCCTTCTCCTCCTTCTCCCTCTCCCTCTCCCTTTCCCTCTCTCTCCTCTTTCCTTCCTTCCTTCACTCCTCCTCCTCCTCCCTCTCCCTTTCCCCCTCTCCTCCTTCTCTCCTTCCTTCTCCTCCTTCTCCCTTTCCCTCTCTCTCTTCTTTCTTTCTTCCCTCACTCCTCCTCCTCCCTCTCCCTTTCCCTCTCTCTCCTCCTTCCTTCCTTCTCCTCCTTCTCCCTCTCCCTCTCTCTCCTCTTTCCTTCCTTTCCTTCCTTCACTCCTCCTCCTCCCTCTCCCTATCCCTCTCTCTCCTTCTCCTTCCTTCCTTCTCCTCCTTCTCCTTCTCCCTCTCCCTTTCCCTCTCTCCTCTTTCTTCTTCCTCCACCTCCTCCCTTCACTCCTCCTCTTCTCCTACCTTCTCCTTCTCCTCCTCTTCCTTCCTTCCTTCCCCCCTCCTACCTTCTTCTCCTCCTCCCTCTCGGAGGACCCTCTGAAGTTACTGCTGATCCAGAATGTAATGGTGTGCCCATGTGACCACAGTTACACGGACAGTCATGTGGCCACTGGTGGCCTTGCAGGCGTGACTCCAGATGCTGGTGGCCCCTGACGAGGGTAGCTTTTCCTGCTCTGGGGCCTGCCCAGGTTCTCAAGGGCCCTGACCTTCCTGGCTTCGAGCGGATGCCATAAAAACAGAGGGGTTTGTTTCCACCAGGGACTCCGCTAAGCTTTCATTGGCAGCTGCCTGGTGGACGGTCCTTGGTGCCAAAGGATTTTATGGGTTCATTATTTGATGTTTGATGTTTTCCAACCTGCATAACCTCCCCTGAGTCCCTTGGGAAGTGTGAGGTTGTAAAATGGGGCAAAACCCACTTGACAAGTTGTTTAGCTTAGCAAAAGAAATGTTGGGCTCATTCATTCAATGAATGATTAAATGAATGAATTGATCAGTGAATGAATGAATAAATGAATGATTAAATGAATGATTAAATGAATAAATCGATCAACGAATGAATGAATAAATAAATGATTAAATGAATGAATTGATCAATGAATGAATAAATGAATGATTAAATGAATGAATTGATCAATGAATGAATGATTAAATGAATGAATTGATCAATGAATGAATGAATAAATGAATGATTAAATGAATGATTAAATGAATGAATTGATCAATGAATGAATGATTAAATGAATGAATTGATCAATGAATGAATGAATAAATGAATGATTAAGTGAATGAATTGATCAATGAATGAATGAATAAATGAATGATTAAATAAATGAATGATTAAATGAATGAATTGATCAATGAATGAATGATTAAATGAATGAATTGATCAATGAATGAATGAATGAATGATTAAGTGAATGAATTGATCAACGAATGAATAAATGAATGATTAAATGAATGAATTGATCAATGAATGAATGAATGAATGAATAAATGAATGATAAAATGAATGAACTGATCAATGCATGAATGAATAAATGAATGATTAAATGAATGAATTGATCAACGTTTGAATGAATAAATGAATGATTAAATGAATGATTAAATGAATGAATTGATCAATGAATGAATGAATGAATGAATAAATGAATGATTAAATGAATCAACTGATCAATGAATGAATGAATAAATGAATGATTAAATGAATGATTAAATGAATGAATTGATCAATGAATGAATGAATGAATGAATGAATCAATCAACCAAGGTGCTTTAAGCAGGCAAATCAGAACTCATGTTTACCATTGATGTGTCGTCCTCAGGAAGGGATCGTGGTGTGTACGTGAATTGGGCGAAGTTCGGGTCGATTTGTGAAACTGGGGTGATTCCTTCGTGGAGAAGTTTGGTGTGCTCATCTTCAGATACCTGGAAGAGGAAAGGGACTCAACATTTCCAAGTGGAAAATGGATGGGTGACTTCTTCTGATGAAGCAACAATGCCAGGCCCCAGAGAGCGACGGGAGGAGACACAAAGTGGACGGATGGATGGACAGATAATACATAGATAGATAATGATAGATAAATGATGGATGAGATAAATATAGATATAGATGAATGATAGATAAGATAGAGATGATAGATGATAGATAGATGGATGGATGATAGATAGATAGATAGATAGATAGATAGATGATAGATAGATAGATAGATAGATAGATAGATGATAGATAGATAGATAGAAGGATGGATGGATGTATATAAAGATAGATACTGTAGACAGATACAGATGATATATAGATTGATATACAGACATACAGATCTCTCTCTGTCTCTCTGTCTCTATTGCTCTATAAAATCAAGTAAAAATAGCAAACGGGTGCAAATCTTTTACTCAAAACTTCCTCAAACCTCCAAGTACATTACACAGACCTAATCCACATATCAAAGGAGAAGGTCTGCAAAAGAGTTAATTAAATTAGGTTTCCCAGCGGAACTGCATGTTCACAAGAATACATACCCCCCCCCCACACACACACATGCCCCTCAAGGGTCACCCTAGAATCAGCACATAGATACTTCCACTCTCAGGACAAGCTCCCCTATAACACTATGTCGCTGTACCCCATTTCTCTGTAGCTGCCCCTAAAGCCAGACCTCCTTGCTTTTAGGGAATAAATATTTCTGCTTCCCTCCCAGCTGTCTGGATCTCGTTTTTATTTATTCCTGTGCAACTCCAGCTTGAGCTGGAACCCCAAATTATCCTTCTGACCAGGTCCTTCATTTTAGCCTTTGGATTACCTTCATGTGATACATCATCATCTCGTTGGCCAGGTGGCTTCGGTACTGAGCCTCATGGACCTTCTTGTAGAGCAAGGACTGCAGGAAGAAAAAGGGAAGGTTTTTTTTTTTCAGTCCATCCTGGTGCATGCCACTTCTCTGAGGGAGATATTAATAAGTTAATTTTCCAGGGGTTTTTTTCCCCCCCAGAAGCCTCCTCCCAGAAGGAACCAGGTTTATGCGAAACCTTCCATCTGGATGCATTGAGATCCTGATCCCGGAATTTCCCAGTGGATCCATCTGAACCTCTGCACCCAGAAGCTGCTCGGCTCCACCTGGACAAGAGCCAAGAGCCATCGGGGGAAAAAAAAAAAAGAGAATAAAACTCACGTACATGAGCAATGCTGATACCACAGTAGATGGAGAAGGCGGTGGCCAGATCCTCGTCGAATTTGCTAAACCATGGCCCGTTGATTTTATTGACGAGCTCGGCCACTCCAATCACCTCTGGAAGATAAAAGAGTGATGGGGAGGAAGGAGGAGGAGGAAGAAGAAGGAAGAGGAGGAAGGAGGAGGAGGAAGAAGGAGGAGGAGGAAAAAGGAAGAGGAGAAGGAGGAGGAAGAAGAAGGAAAGAGGAGGAAGGAGGAGGAGGAAGAAGGAGGAGGAAAAAGGAAGAGGAGAAAGGAGGAGGAAGAAGAAGGAAGAGGAGGAAGGAGGAGAGAGGAGGAAGAAGGAGGAGGAAGAAGAAGGAAAGAGGAGGAAGGAGGAGGAGGAAAGAGGAAGAGGAGAAGGAGGAGGAAGAAGAAGGAAGAGGAGGAAGGAGGAGAGAGGAGGAAGAAGGAGGAGGAAAAAGGAAGAGGAGAAGGAGGAGGAAGAAGAAGGAAGAGGAGGAAGGAGGAGAGAGAGGAGGAAGAAGGAGGAGGAAAAAGGAAGAGGAGAAGGAGGAAGAAGAAGAAGGAAGAGGAGGAAGGAGGAGAGAGGAGGAAGAAGGAGGAGGAAGAAGAAGGAAAGAGGAGGAAGGAGGAGGAGGAAGAAGGAGGAGGAAAAAGGAAGAGGAGAAGGAGGAGGAAGAAGAAGGAAGAAGAAGAAGGAGGAGAGAGGAGGAAGAGGAGGAGGAAAAAGGAAGAGGAGAAGGAGGAAGAAGAAGAAGGAGAGAGGAGGAAGAAGGAGGAGGAGGAGGAGGAAGGAGGAGGAGAAACCACTTAAACCTTATTTCTCTAGAGCAGGGGTCTCCAACCTTGGCAACTTGAAGACTTCTGGACTTCAACTCCCAGAATTCCCCAGCCAGCAAAACTTATCTTCTTTCCTTTTTCCTCCCTCCCTCCCTCCCTCTTTCCTTTTCCTTCCTTTCCTTCTCGTCTTTTCTCTTCTTCCTTCCTTCCTTCTTCCCTTTCTTCTCTTCCTTACTTTCTCTCTTGCTCTCCCCTTTCCTTCCTTCCTTTCCTTTCCTTCCTTCTTTCCTCGCTCCTTCTCTCCCTTCTTTCTGCCTCCCTCCCTCTTCCCTTCTTCTCTCCCTCGTTCCTTCCTTCCTTCCTTCCCTCCTTTTCTTCTCTTCCTCCTTCCTTTCTCCCTCTCCCTTTTCCTTCCTTTCTTTCCTTCCTCCCTCCCTCCCTCCTTCTCTCCCTTCTCCCTTGCTCCCTTTCTTCTCCTTCTTTCCTCCATTGTTCCCTTCCTCCCTCCCTCCTTCTCTCCTTCCCTTCTTCTCTTCCTTCTCCCATTTTCCTTCCTTCTCTCCCTTTTTCCTTTCTTCTTCCTTCCTCCCTTGCTCTCCCCCTTCCTTCCTTCTTTCCTTCCTTCCTTCTTTCCTCCCTTCCTTTCCTTTCCTCCCTCCCTCCCTCCTTCTCTCCCTTCTTCCTTCTCTCCCTTCCTTCTCTTCCTCCTTTCCTCCCTTGTTCCCCTCCTCCCTCCCTCCTCCTCTCCCTTATTCCTTTTCCCCCTCCCTTTCTTCTCTTCCTCCTTCCTTCCTCCCTCGTTTCCCCCTTTCCTTCCTCCCTTCCTCTCTCCTACAGATTGTGACTCCTCCTGACCACTTTCCCTGCCTTCAAAGACAAGCCCCCTGCCAATCCAGAATGCCCATCTCTGGGGATGGTCTGAAGGCGTCCTGGCCAGGGTTGCCCAGGACTCATGTGTCTCCCCTCACCAACGGGCTGCTCACCCTGATTCTCGTCTTTGATGGGGAAACAGAGGATGTTCCTGGTGCGAAACCCGGTGCTGTCGTCCACGCCGCGGTAGAAGAGGGGGTGAGAGTAGGCGTCTTTGATGTTGAGGATCTTGCCCGTGGTAGCCACGTGGCCAGCGATGCCCTGATCGGCTGGAATCCGGATTTCATAGCTCTGTGGAAGAGTACCAAGCAAGCAGAATCTGCTGGTTACTCCAAATTTTAAATTTGGGGTTTTAAATTGAGCCTATCATTTAATAATTTTAATTATTTTTAAATTTTGTCTGTCTCTGTGCTTTTAATTAGGCTGTACACCGCCCTGAGTCCTTCGGGAGAAGGGCGGTATAGAAATAAAATAAATAAATAAATAAATAATAAATATATCTCGGTTTTGCTTTACTTATTTCATAAGACGACACAAAGAGCGGAACAAATATAAAACGGTGACGAAAGGAAAAGGAGAACGTGGAGAAAAGAAAGCAACACAATAATAGTAATTTAAATTTATATATTTAAATATATAAAGAATAATAATTATAAGGAGAGAAGATTAGAAGTATAAACTATATATAAAACAAATGCATGGAGTGGAACAAAAATGTATATAACATGAATGTAGAAATGTATAATCTTAAAGATATAATTAAAATATATAGATCTCTATAGGGGGGAGGGGGAAAAAAGGAAAATGAGGAGAGGAAGAAGGAGTAATAGATTAAGATATAGGGGAAGAAGAATAAAGTGATAGATGGAAGACCACTATGAAACAATGCTTAAAAATGATAAGATACTTATATGTTGTATGTTGTGTAAATGTCATATATGTGTTATAATAAAATTACAAATTTTTATAAAAATAATAATAATTATAAATAATAATAATAATAATAATAATAATAATAATAATAATAATTTAAATTATGCATAGAGAAAGATGCTTCTGGTTTGCATTGTGGAATCAGTGTTTCTCAACCTTGGTGACTTTAAGACCTGCGGACTTCAACTCCCAGAATTCCACGGCCAGCTTCTGACAAGCCAAGTCAATGGGGGAAGCTGGATTCGCTTAATGACCACATGATTCACTTAACAGCTGCATGGATTTGCTTAACGACGGCGGCAAAAGGAAAGGGAGGGTTGTAAAACCAGGCACAATCCCCTATTAATCTTCCTTAGCGATGGAATTTTTGACCTCAGTTGTGGTCGTAAGTAGAGGACTATCTGAATTAAGCCTTCGTTCTCTCCTTCATTCGGAATGACAGAAGAGTTGGAAGGCACCCTGGAGGTCATCTAGTCCAACCCCCTCGTTTCTTTCCACGCTCGCGTCCTACTGCTTTTCTCACCTCGTCATCCACCACACCTCCGTCAAACACTTTGGCCACCAACTCATGGCTGCTTCGGTCCAGCAGGAAAACCGAACATCTGAAAGGGAATCCCATGAGAGAGAAGGGGTTAGGAGAGAGCCTGGCGGAGGGAAAAGGAGGAAGGAAGGAAACTGAGGAGCAGGGACAGCTGGGCCCCATTCCGGGGGTCCTTGGACCAATTCCCCACTCCAAGAGAATGGGCAGCTCTGCCTATCAGCAGAGAATGGCTAGAGTGTACTTTGTTTCTATTCCTTCTCTATTTCATTTCTTCCCTTCTCTCTCTCTCTCTCTCTCTTCCTCCTTCCTTTCATCTTCCCTCCCTCTCCATTCCTCCTCCCTCCCTCCCTCCTTTCCTTCTCCTCCTCTCCCTTTTTCCTTCCTTCTTTCCTCTCTCTTTCTCCCTTCCTCGCTTCTTTCCATCCTCCCTCCTTCTCTCTTCCTTCCTTTCTTCCTTCCTTCCTCTCCCTCTCTCCCTCCTTTACTCCCTCTCCCTCTCTATCTCTCCCTCTCCCCCCCTCCCCTCCCCCCCCCCCCCCCCATCCCCCCCCCTTCTATTTTTCGATTACTCCACCCAGAGAGTCACAAATCAGAAGTGGAGCCATCCAAGGAAATTCTTGAAATAACTTAAGTATAAAACTGGGAAACGCCACATGCTCTCCCCTCCAGCATTTGGAGATACTGCGAGCTATCCAAAGACACCCCTCTCCTCTCCCCCCACCCCGTGGCTGTTTGGGCTGTTCCTCAAGCATGTCGCTCCCCTCCCCACGAGGGGCCGGCTGTGACCACCAGACTCTCCTGGCCAGGATGAAACCCACATTTCAGCATTGCTGAGATTACGGGCTTCCGTGATGATTTCCTGTAGCAGCACCGAAACGTCATCTGAAAAAGGAACATGGTGGAGAGAAGCTCAGAGAACCAGATGGTGGACTCAGACACATATTTTTTGGGGCGTGGGGGCTTATTCCCACCCCACCTCCACTGGGAAGGAACCCTGCCAGGCAGCCCACCCCCAATTTCAGGGAATACAGCCAAATCAGCAGAACATCTCAGCGGTGGGTCTGGAAATGGAGACATCCCAGTTTTCAGTGTCTGGTTTCTCCAGCCCTTGGCCGGTGCTGGGTGGCCTTGGATACCTACCCAGGTGAGTGAAAAGGTTCTTGGCCACTTGCAAAAGAGCCTGCGAAGAAGAAAGACAGGTGAAGGCGCTCGTTCTTTCTAAGGTGTTTTTGTGGTTTTTTTTGGAAAGGAGACACACTTACTACCTCTTATCCCAATCCTAAACTGCTCAGAATAAAGGAATATCAGAGCTGGAAGGGCCATTGGAGGTCTTCTAGTCCAACCCCCTGCTTAGGCAAGAAACCCTACACCACTTCAGACAAATGGTTATCCAACCTCTTCTTAAAAACTTCCAGTGTTGGAGCATTCACAACTTCTGGAGGCAAGTTGTTCCATTGGTTAATTGTTCTAAGTGTCAGGAAGTTTCTCCTTAGTTCTAAGTTGCTTCCCTCTCGGATGATTCTTCATCCAAACTGAACATAGAATCATAGGACCAGAAGGGACCTTGGAGATCTTCTAGTCCAACCCACTGCCTCAGCAGAAGTCCCTAGATACCATTCTGGCTGTCCAATCTCTTCTTCAAGACCTCCAGTGATGGAGCATTCAACATTTCTGGAAGCAAGTTGTTCCTCTGATTAATTGTCCTCACTGTCAGAAAATTCTCCTTAATTCCAGATTGGTTCTCTCCTTCATCAGTTTCCATCTGTTGCTTTCTTGTCCTGCCTTCTGGTGCTTTGGAGAATATTTTGACCCCCCTCTTCTTTGGGGCAGCCCCTCAAATCCTGGAAAACTGCTATCATGTCACCCCTGGTCCTTCTCTTCATTAGACTAGACACACCCAATTTCTTCAACCGTTCTTCCTGAGATCTGAGATGCAAGCCTACAGGAGATATCTTGAAACCTTGCAGGAGTTCAACAGGTTTTGACCTTCAGAAGCTTCAGCAGCTGAAGACCAGCTTGTCTGAAGGAGCACCACCTTCTCCTATCTGGATCTGAAGGCCTTGCAATCAAGACCTTCTCCGGATCCATCCCATCACCCAAATAGAGGAGGTGAGGTGGGTCTCTGTTAAGGAGGAGAGCATTTTCTGTGGTGGCATCCCATTGAGGGCATCCTGGCTGGCACCCCCGTTACCATCATTCTCACCCTGGGTGAAGAGTTTTTTTTTTTTTCCTAGACCTCTTAATCTGAGTTTAATTGTGTTTATGTCCTGTGATTTTAGATTTAGATGACTGCCTTTCTACCATCCCAGGCCTTTTAACTGGCTTAATTGTATTTTAATGACACTTTAATGTACGTTGTTTTAGTCTTTTGAATGACTGCCTTGCAGCTGTCTTGTTTCCACTGTGTGATGCCTTTGCACTTTATTTGATTTTATGGGTATAACTGTGTTTTTATTGTAAACTACCTAGAGATCTTCAGCTGTCAGGCAGTTTAAAAATTTTAAACAAAGAAAGGAATGAACCAATTTTATTTCCCTATCTCCTGATATCTCTACAGTTTTAAATTTCTGGGCATTTATATCTCGGAGGACCTCTCATGCTGTCCCTTCCCACGAGTGACCTTGCAGAAGCTCAAATGGCCCGGCAGTAACAAACGCAGGCTAGAGAGTTTGAAGCTGGCCCTTTAATAAACAGGGCCAAGAAAGATGCTGCAGTAAGAAACGGAGTGTCCCCCACCCAAAAAAACCCTAAAAGGGGTTCCCTCTCCGTTCCTCAAATGCCAGCTTTTTGAGGGACCTCTTTATTCCAGATAGTAATAGCAATAGCACTTAGACTTATATACCGCTTCATGGTGCTTTACAGTCGTCTCTAAGCGGTTTACAGAGTCAGCCTATTGCCCCCCAACAATTTGGGTCGTCATTTTACCGACCTCGGAAGGATGGAAGGCTCGGTCGAACTTGAGCCTGTCAGGATCAAACTGCTGGCAGTGGGTAGAATTAGCCTACAATGCTGCGCTCTAACCACTGTGCCACCAGGAAGGAGAGTGAGAAAGGGAATAAGAGAAGAAGCCAGGTTTCGGTTTGCGGACTTTGCCATCAACTCACAGAGGATTCTTGGTTAAAGTGCTCAGTGGCTTTTTCTGGCACTAAAATATAAAAGATTAAAAATCGCTGAGATTCTGCAAGGTTGCTAGATCTCATGAGGCGGCATTGCTTGCAATCCTGGAAAGGGACGTTTGACTTTTCACCTACTTATTTTCCCTGGAGATAATATCCCCTAGGAGATGGGATGGGAGGGGGGAAATTCCTTTGAGCTGGAGCAGTAGATTAGGGGTAGAGTGGCTTGGAAGATGGCCAATGAGTGCAGGGGAGTGGGGAACGGAAAGGGAGGGTTTTGGGTCTGGAAGTCAGTGTTGGCTGCGATGCAGTCAGAGTTAGAATGTCATGCTAAATAAATGGGAGTTTTCTTCAAAGACTTTGTTTGAAATGCAATTTATTTGAGACGACCTCGAAACCTGACACGCGGGAAATCTCAGAGTCGTCCTTCACCCCTTTGTGCCAATGTGACGTATCCCATGAACTGTTCTTTGAGGAGCTCCTTTGTTTTCGGCGGGTGCATTACTTGGAACACTGACAGCTCGTTCTCGGGGCTACCTGGGGGATAACAAAGGCCACGGACAGGTGGGGGCGCAGCCCTTACCTGACACTCCCACTTGAGTTTCTGCTCCTTCTGGAAGGCCAACGTGCTAGTCAGCACCGTCGAAGTGTAGCAGAAGCAATGCTGGATTTTGTAGACGTCGGCTTCGGTGTAGCTGCCGGAAACGGAGAAGAGCAAGAAAGAGGATTAGAGGACTGGAAGCTAAAATATCTGCTAGCTGCAGTTCAGCAGTTCGAATCTCACCAGGCTCAAAGTTGACTCCGCCTTCCATCCTTCCGAGGTGGGTCAAATGAGGACCCAGATGGTTGGGGGGCAAGAGGCTGACTCTGTAAACCGCTTAGAGAGGGCTGTAAAAGCACTGTGAAGTGGTATATAAGTCTAAGGGTTATTGCTATTACCCTTCCTCCCTCCCTCCCTCTCTTCCTCTTCATTTCCTTCCTTCCTTCTTCTTCCATCATTGTCCTTCCTTCCTTGCTTTCTTCCTTCCTTCCTCCCTCCCTCCCTCCCTCCCTCCCTCCCTCTTCATTTCCTCCCTTCCTTCTTCTTCCCCCATTCTCCTTCTTCCATCATTCTCCTTCCTTCCTTCCTTCCTTCCTTCCTTCCTTCCTTCCTTCCTTCCTTCCTTCCTCCCTCCCTCCCTCCCTCCCTCCCTCCCTCCTTCCTTCCTTCCTGCCATCGTGACGCAGTGCTTGAGAATGTAGTATTGCAGAGTAATTCACTGCTCACTGCCAGTAGTTTGATCTGACCGGCTCAAGGTTGACTCAGCCTTCCATCCTTCTGAGGTGGGTAAAATGAGGACCCAGACGGTTGGGGGCAAGAGGCTGACTCTGTAAACTGCTAAGAGAGGGCTGTAGAGCACTGTGAAGCGGTATATAAGTCTTAAGGGTTAGTGCTAAGTGGAAAGGGTGGGAGGGAGGGAGGGAGGGAGGGAAGGAAGGAAGGAAGGAGGAAGGAAGAAGAGAGAATGGGAGGGAGGGAGGGCCATGGTGGTACAGAGATGAGAATGCAGCATTGCAGGCTATGCCAACTGCCCGGAGTTCGATCCCGACCAGCTCAAGGTTGACCCAGCTTTCCATCCTTCTGAGGTGGGTAAAATGAGGACCCAGATCGTTGGGGGAAAGAGGCTGACTCTGTAAACTACTTAGAGAGGGCTGTAAAAGCACTATGAAGCGGTATATAAGTCTAAGTGCTATTGCTGTTGCTAAAATATATGAAGAACAGTTGCAGGAATTGGGTATATCTAGTTCAGGGGTCTCCAACCTTGGCAATTTTAAGCAAAGCTGGCTGAGGAATTCTGGGAGTTGAAGTCCACAAGCCTTAAAGTTGCCAAGGTTGGAGACCCCTGGTTTAGTTTAATGAAAAGAA